AAAGCTGAAGAGCGAACGCTAGCTGTGACAAAGACAAAACAATGGAATGAAGTGTGCTTGAAGTGTTGCTGTGTGATTTTAAAAGAAGTCAGACTTTACCCAAACAAGTAGCTAATAGGATGCCAATTTAAGCAAATTGCAAGAATGAAAAATAAATCCGACAAGCAATCTTACTCGCCATGCCGAAAACTGGCAGATGTAAACGACCACTCGTGTGACCCTCAAAGGTGTGAGTTATAAATATCAAACAGGCGATTGGTACCAAATGGAGGTATGCAGTCTAGGATCGAAGGACCTGGCATAGCTGCGCATAAAGTTTAGGTGTACAACAATATTAACAACTGTAAAAACAATTTTAAAAGTTTTGATAATTCCAAAAATTTTGAAGTTAAAGAGATGGGTGGGCAGCGATGTTAACGATCACCAAATTATCACTTGATTGTTGTATGCGAATGCAGCGAAACACACTCTTAATCCAAAAAAAACAGCATGAGATACAGGATTGTTAACAGCATTATATGTTCATGGATTAGCATTCAAATAATGTACAAACAATGGAGCAATTCTGTCTATATCTTCAATTGGATGCATCTTCATGTAAGTGATGAACTGACGTCGAAGTCTTGAGAGTTCAGCAACGGATCGACGCCTTATAAACAAAACCTGAAAGTTTTTTGTTCATGCGCGATTCGAGGAAGAAAGTAGTTCAGAAGGAGGAAGGTCAAAATGTACATATCTACGATCCATATGCGGTGGCGTTTACTGCTGACCAGTAGCAAGAATATCAACGGTGTTTTCTTGAGACGGCTTGAGAAACAGGCTAGTGGTCAGCAGCAAGTTTAAGCATACAAGCAACAGGTTAAATACTATGGTTCGTCCTACCAACGGTCACAAATTATTTTAGCAAACTTACCTCATCCTTGGTTTAAACTTTTTGACCCCACCTTTTGTTAAAAATTGCGTAAGGGACCATTGCATCATTATAATGCAACACATATTTGTAATCTGTGGTCACCCGGGTATAAAAGCACTCCTCCCCATCTCCAGGCTCTTGTGTGCTTTGTTCCTTCCTCGGACCACTCTGTTCTGGGGAACTTCGGCTCCGCAAAGCCTCGCCACATTTTATTTATTATTTTCCTCTCGTTTCAAGTACTTTGTACAATTGTAGTCTCTTGTATATAATTATAAACATATAGCTATCACTAGGTGTTTGCAGTACACACACACATATTCTCACATACACATGCACATACATATACATACACACACGCACACACACATACTAGCCTGACCCCTTATCCACTGAAAATTGCCATAATATAAATTCCCGGAAATAACCAAAAATCGGAAATCAAAAATAACCTTTTCATCAGATTCGGAACAATTTGGAACCGCAAAGGTATCACCGCATACAGCAGTTCGTTGCTGATCCACTACACTTTTCACCACCTTTTGCGTGATTCGATCGAGAAAGTACAGGAAATCTGCCGACATCAGTGGAGCCGATTGAGTGCTCAGATTTGGAGCTAGACCTTTTCCCTGCAAAAAAAAAATGCATGCAAACATACGCTTTTGTCACAAGAAAAAAAAAAAACGGGAATCCCACTTGTTGGGTTCACCGACCCAGGCGCTCCAATCGACTG